TAAGGTCCGTTTAGACTATCTGATTTCTTGGTCTGATTTTGACCACCGCCATAATGAAAAATCTGCTCGAATTTTCTTTCGACACACTTTGTCGAACCCCCCTGTTTGCTGGTGTTCACACTGCTTGCATATGTCGAAAGAACTGTCAATTTAGATTTCAAAACAAAACTGTATCAGGAATCAAAAGTAAATGCTTCCATCATGAATTACCGGAAAATTGCTCTAGTTTCGGCAGACGTATTTGCTTTTATTATTTTAAATAAAATGAGAAAAAGAAGGTGAACTTTGTGGAGTAGGAAATGGTTGCTCAGGAGGAACACCGGCAGGGATCTGGCTCAACTTGTCCATCAAAAGCTGCGATATGAAGATGAAAATGGATTTCTAAACTTCGCCAGGATGTCGATACCAACTTTAGACAAGCTAGTGGGAAAAGTTCTCACTATATATACATAATTCCTTGAGTTCTGAAAATTTCTGTTAATATCTCAATTCTGTAAGGTCTTCAAACCTTTTGACGTCCCTGAAGTGTTGTTTCTGTTCTCCGGTAAAATTTCTTTAAAGATCAACAATCTTTCTGACCATTTGCAAATGTCTCGGTAGTTCTACAGATTTCTTTGGAGTTCTGTGTGTTCTTCAGAAGTTCTGCAAATTTTCCTAAAAATCTACAAAGTTCCTGAATCCCTGAAGATTTAAGACCCTTGAAGATCAACAATTATCTCTGATGTTTACAAAATTTCTAATAATCTACAAACTTCTCGAAAGTTCTCTAATTTTCTCTGCAGATTTTCATGATTCAATGAATATCTGCAAATATCTCTAAACATCAATACAATTTTCTAAAGAATTAAAAGATTATCTAGAAATTTTTGAGCTTTCCGGAAGTTTTAGGAAGTATTCTGAAGTTTTTCTATTTTTTCTGAAGCTGTGCAAATATCTCTAAAGATCAGCAAACTTACCTGAAGTTCTGTAAATGTCTTTCAAAATCCAAGAACCGCAGTAAAATTCTGAAAATTTATTTAAACATACTGCTAATTTTTGAGTAGATTTACGATCTACCCTCTGAACCTTTCTGAAGTTCCTAAAATTTATTTCATATCCTGTAAAGTTTTTTTGAAGTACTGTATTTCTGCTCCAAAGATCTACGAACTGCCCTGAAGTTCAATAAATTTCACAGTAGATCTCCAAACTTTTCTAAACTTTTTTAAATTTCATTGTGGATTATTTATTTAAAGATCGACGAACTTTCCCGAAGATCTGTGAGTTTTGCTGAAGTTTTGCAAATTTTTCTAAAAACGTACGAACTTTCTGACGTTCTATAGACTTCTCTGAGGGTCTACGGACTTCTCTGAAGTTCTTTAGATCTATCTATTTCCGACTTCCATGGAGTTCTGCAAAATATTGTACTTTTGTACTTCGCTGCGATTTGTTTTTGGAATTTAGGTGCTTTTCTGACATTTCTAGATAGAGCTGGAATTAGGGCCTAACAGCTTTTGTAAACAATGACTTCAATCGATGATTTCTAGAAATTCAAGGCTCGCCCACGCAAACCAACCCCCTCATCGGATAGGGAAACACTTCCCCAATCCGATGGTTATGTTGGTCTGCGTGGGCGTGCTTTGAGTTCTTGGAAATCATCGATAGAAGTCATTGTTTACAAAAGCTGTTACGCCCTAATTCCAGCTCTATCTAGATTTAACGAATTTTTCTGAAGATCTCACATTTGTGTGACACTGTGAAACTTTCTGTCAAATTCCTGCAAATATCTTTAAAGTTATGCAAAGTTGTCTTAAGCTCCGTAGCTCTATTCCCAAGATCTACAAAAAAAAACTTGAGGCTCAATAAATTTCTGAGTAGATCTGCAAATTTCTCTGATGTTTTGTAAATTCCTCTCGGGTTACCCTGAAGATTTGAAAATTGAAGATTACCTAAAGTTGTCAAAATTGATCTGAAAATATTTGAGCTTCTTAGAAGTTTTAAATGTCTCTCTCAAGATCTACAAATTTTCCTAAAATCGTGTAAATATTTTGTTATAATTCGCCAATCTTCCTTGAAGTTCTGCAATTTTTACTGAAGATCCATTAACATTTCTGAGATTCTTGTGATTTTTTCAGAAGTCCTGTAATTTTTTTCAAAGTTCTGTAGCTTTGTTCTGAAGATCTACGAACTTTTCTGATGTTGAATAATGTTTCGAGGATCTCCAAACTTCTGTGAAATACTTTATATTTCACTGTAGACTCTTGGACTTGTCTGAAGTTATGCGAATTTCCCTGAAGATTTGCAAAATTTCGCTTGTTGTAATTATTTTTGCATGCTTGAAGTTTTGAAAATTTCTTTGAACATTTATCTGAAGATCTACGACCTCTCTTGTGATTTTGTTTTTATGAATTTCTGTTAATTACTTTTAATTTGTTTGTAGTTCTGTTCTCAAGATCTACGAACTACCCTGAAGCTCAAAAAATTTCTCAGTAGATCTCCGACCCTCTCTGAAGCTCAAAAAAAAATTCTATGTTGGCCTACTGTCTGGCATGCTTATTCTTATACAATACATGCTTCGTATGCTTCCTTTTGACGGTTGCCAGTCTCTCTTTTTCGGCTGTTTCCTATTTCCGACGATTTTGATCATCCACATACAAATCAGCGAAGAGCGAGCGTGACAAGACTCTCTGAATGAACTTGTCTCGTTCGCACACGTTGTCATAGCTGTCAGATGCTTGTCAAGTTCAGTGTCCTTAAGAAACGTTTCAAGAAACTGAACGAAAAACTTCTTTTGAATTACGAATGAAGTGATAATTGGAAAATTCCCTGAGTGGAACCAAAATTCACTGAATATTCCACTTTCCCAACCTCGATTTTTTGAAAACAAACAAGTTACTGAGTTTGTTTTTAGATGCACATCGCAAATTGCTGATTAAAACAAAAATTGAGACACAGTGATAATTGTTTAAAGTCTCGGACTTAGACAAATGTCGACAATTTAAAGACTGTCAATTTTAGAACATCGGAAAAAATCATAACTCTGGAGCCAAGAAAACTTTTCTAGATCATAATCTAAGAAAAAATCTCCTTGATCGCCCAAGGGCAGAACTTTTCCTATATTGTGCTTACGGATGTATGAATAAAAGACAGTGGTTTTGACCGTCCTGCCATGGCGGAGGCAGATGTATTATTATAGATTTATGGATAGTGCATAAGAATACAATACAACACACAGCTGATAGGGTAGGAACACACGTAGTGGACGTTCGTACAAACACTCATTGTTCTGGAACGAGGAACATTTTGCAAGATGAAAATATCACGGACATACACAATTTTGCATATGCCTTGGACTAAAAATCTTGATCTTGATTTGTTTTTTATAAGATTCAGGGATAAACTTGAGAAATTTTAAATCATTTTTTCTAATGCAAATATAGAAAATTGTGCGGTCTTGAATAACTTTCGATACTTTAAACATATGGAATATCAAAAGTTCGTAAAAAATGTAAATGCTTCTAAAACATGGAAAAAATTTATAATCTTGGACAAATGATTCTCTTTTCTAAACCTGTATTTCAAAATTTGTTGACACCGAATAACAAGCCCTGAAAAATATACAATACATTTAATTTAATGATCTTAAGAGGAAATTCAAGATTCTGCGACATGAATTTGGTTTCAAATATTCGTAAACATGTCTTCAAAGGTTTGTAAATTTCTAGCCTTTGAAAAAATGACAAGAGCTTGAAAATGTTCCTAGACCATTTCGACTTCTTGGACTAGGAAAACTTTCAAAAGGACGAAGTTGAAAAGCCTGCATATTGGGTCTAACATATTTTCGAAACCTCAGAGAATTTGTGACTGATCGATGAACATTTCGAGATCACAGGAAAGGAAAACATATTTTTTATAATCTGGATAAATTTTTAAGATAACGGACTTGAATGTCTAGATCACGGAGTCGAAAAAAAAATATTAGTGATTCCGTCTACATCAATTGGACACTTGACGTTCCAGTCTGTTCGCCACTCTTTTGGTTAGACTGTACACGCTGATTTTTAATTAATCTTTATAACAAAAATTTGTTGCTAAATAAAACTGTGACTTGATGTTTTTTTAAAAGAAAATTCTCTATTCTCAACATTAGCCGAAACAAGTTACTTTAGTGACTACATTTTCACAAACAGTGACTTCAGTCACATTTTGGTGAAAAAGTGATTTTTTAGAAACTGACATGAAAATAGTGACATAGCCACTAAAGAGTGACCTGCTACCAGCCCTGTCTGATGATGATCGGATTTTGAAGAGCAATAAAAAGTTGCACACTTTATCACTTCCACAAAATTGTAAACTTTTTTTTTTAAAGCTTTATTAAAGAGATTTTTAGCCTTAGGCTAGTTAATCTCTAAAAAAAAAATGTAAACATTAAGTACTACTTTATAAAACACTGAACATATTATTTCATAACAATAGCATACAAAAATGGTTTAGAATCAAAAATTGAACGATGTAGTAATCAACTTCACGTCAATGATCAACTTCACCCCGTTTTATGGAGCACTAATCTCAAATATTACTGGATTACGACTGTGCATGGTTGTTGCCTATTTGATGTGTGTTTGGTACATGCACTGGTTAACGAACTAAACGAGACTTTTAAAAACGTTCCAAACACTACCATAGAGTATACCAAGAATATACGTTGAATAGCTCGAGTAACCACCAAACGGAAAGTTTAAAAAATATAAATTCAACGTGTGAGATAAAAGCACATTTTAAAATACAGCAACACTGCCCCGAAGAAGGCTACCCCAAACAAATACACTGATATAAATCCAGAGCGACGAATCGGTCACTCTACTCCCTCACCATGGTTTCCACAGTGAAACAAATGTCGAAACAGTATTGAAATCTCAAGCCTGTCAAATTTTACGCTTGGAAAGCGATTCTATCCATTGCATCGATAATATTCCATTCTGCCTATTAAAATGCGTTCCGAATTACACACTCAAGATACTCACACATATTTCACTTTTTAGTAATCATTACTAAGAGCCACCGCTATTTGTTTGTTTTACTAATGCAATCCCGGCTACTCGTTTCAGGAGGTCATCTTTTTTCTTGTTGCAATTTTCAGCCTCCCCACAAGAAGGGGTACGACACTCAATGCCACGGACGATCGCGATCGACACACCGTGGATCCAGGGCCAAGTTGTAGGTTTTGCTTGGTTTTTTGTTTTCACCCGTGCTAGTCCGAAAAAATACCGATAATTCCGTTCAATATTACTTCTTCTTAGTTGTTTGCGAATGGAGGTCGAAAACGGCGACGACGACAACAACGACGACGACGACGACGCGTGTACGCTTCACTCCGTCAATTTCTACACGGTATTACTCGCGCGAGATGCGTTTGCTTCTGCTACTGCTTATCCACTGAAAACCTGAAGCCTCAATTCACACAGTTCGAAAAAAAAAAACGGCACCTCGCTGCTGGCAACATACACGCAAACACATACACTCACACGTGCGTCGGGAATCTTCACTCACAACTACGCATAAAATAAAATTTCGCTTCCCCTGGTTCCCGTCTTCGCACCCCTAGTCAGAAGAAACCGACCGCTGCACACACTTCGACTCTGTATACACCGAGAACACAGAAATTTTCATCCACCAGAGGGGGTTATGCTGCTTGTTTTCCACCTCACACTCCCACCGCGGCGCTGGCGATCATTGCCGCACGCTATTACACAAACACACACGTGCACGTGCGCAAAGGGAACTGGGAAGCACCACCACAAGAGCAGTCGGGTGCCTTTCACTCACACCCGAGCACTCAAGCGTTTCGTAAGCTCTTCTCTGCTATGTACTGTACTGGTACCAAAACACACCATCAGAGTGCGCCAGTTTCAACTGTCACTGCCGCTGTACGTGCTATAGATTTACACCAGCGAATGACCCCCTTGATGATTGTGTTTCGTTTTTGGTTTTTTGTTGCCTCTACAGAGGATGCATGTGTTGGTGTGTCGTCGGGGGTAGTCTCTCGATGTGCTTCCTTGCTTGGTTCGGTTGCTGGGATGGAGACTCACGGTGCAAAGTGATGATTTGTTCTCCACCTCCTTCTACCTAAAAAAAAAAATCATAAGAGAAAAAAAAAGCTGTGAGCCAAGAGGGAGAAATAACAAGTTGAAACAGCAAGAATAGGCAACTCGCATACGTATATGAAAGATCATTAAATGATATATAACGAAGTCGAAAGGAATGGAAGCAACAAAAAACTCTATATCGCAGAGGAGACAACGAGACAGAGCAGCAGTAGTCGGAGGATGAGGAGGACGGAGGGTGAGCACGGAGAAAACGAAGAACATCTCTAGCCAACGAGTGTGGAAGCTCGAGCATGACTTGATCCCCGGTTCACAGTCAGCCAGACAAATATGTTTGTTGGCTTAGAGTTTATGTTCGGTTACATTTTACGTGTGATTCAACATTTCGAACCAAAGCACATAGAAGTGCAGATACTTTGCACTACTGCTGGATGGATGTTGGGAGTGAGCTAGAGCCAAAACAGATCATCTTATGTCCAAAAATTGGCAGGAATGTTCATTAAATGTTATTATAACGAAAAAAATGCAAAAGAAAGTCAAACTTGGAAGTGAGAAGTAAGTTAACATTAGACTGATGCAAAATTTGAAATTTTCGCTCCACAGTGTTTAAAAGGTTTCAAATCGGGTCCTGATTATCCTCCGAAAGTTTAAACTCATTTGATAAGAAACTGACTTGGCACAAACCATTTGAAGTTTATATGGAAATTACTATGGGAGAACAAAACTTTTTGTTCATCGTCTTCTAGCCTTTTTACATATTGTACTGTTAACAAATTCTATTGCTATTCTTATGGGATTTTTTATCAGCTACAACTTTGCAGAAAATTGTTTTTCAGCCAAACGTCAAATTAAATAGTTACTAATTGTTGAAGAGATTGATAATCGTATGGCAAGATTAAGCAACTGTATTGTGGGCAACACTGTATTTTGAAGTGTGAAATAGTAGCTATGATTGTTGTCCTCTATTCTACGCGCATTAAACACCAATGTTGCCTGTTGAATACTTGATTGAGCATAATCATAAGACAATAGTGACTTGAATCATAATAACTTTTGATCCTTAAATTTGATCGAAAACTGGTCTTCAATAAAGTTGTAGCTGAGAAAATTTTGAAGAAGCTAAAGTAGAGTGAACTGGTGAATTTTGAAATAGATATGAACCGAAATTATGGTTTCTCCATAGTAATTCCCATCTTCTTCTTTTTCCTCGCATTTCAAGCTTATTGCGTATGGCATAATTAGCTTATTGCGTGCTCTCAACTTAGTGTTCTAGATGCACTTCCACAGTTATTAATTGAGAGCTTTCGATGCCTGTACCATTTTTGCATTAGTATAATTGTGTGGCAAGTACAATCATACTCTATGCCCAGGGAAGTCGAGAAATTTTCCAACCCGAAAAATTCCTAGACCGGACCGGGAATCGAACCCAGCCACCTCCAGCATGGTCTTGCTTTGTAGCTATGCCTTTACCGACTAAGCTAAGGGAGGTCCCATAGTAATTCCCATATAAACTTCAAATGGTTTGTGCCAAGTCAGTTTCTCACTAAATGAGTTCAAATTTTGGGAGGCTAATCCCCAATTTGGAACCGTTTGAGCAATGTGGAGCAAAAATTTCAAATTTTGCATAGACTGATGAACATACTTATAATATCGACTAATATTATGGATTTATTCTGGCCTTTAGTTATTTCGCATAAACGCGAACCATAACTTGACCTTACCTAAAATGATTAAAAATTGTTTATGATCCCTGCTTAACTTTAACTGAAATGTTTATGAAACTTTACATGAACGTTTGTATGATAAAGTTGTTATGAATTATGGTTTTTTGGAAGTGAACCTTACAAATAATGGATTATGTGTACTGCAGTATTTTAAAAAGTGGGACATCACTGATTTTTGGTGAAACTGTTTTGATAAAATAGCGCTAAACGCCCACTCAAACGAGGGGGCACCATAACCACAAAAACACCTTGCATACGGAGGGACGGTGGAAGAGGACACTAAAATAGAAAGTTTTCCTTTCGACTGTTTCATCTTAGTATTCTTCTTTGGTTAAACTTTTGAAGTGTAATAAATCTTGAAATGTAATTGTAGAATTGTATGCTAATCCCTCTTTCAGTAAGCACTTCAAAAATCAACGTAAATATTAGCTGGTCAAGCTACAATATAATATCAAGTGACTTTTATCTACATGGGGATACATAGTTTATTAAGCATTTATTCATAGAAGAATACTAAGATGAAACTATCAGAAAGCATTTTTTTTTTCTTGTCGGGTACTTTCATCACTGTGACTATTTTTCTGATCTATTGCGATATATTCCTCTTTTTTTAGGGAGTTGTTCTCCAAATGTCAAAGGGTTCTATCAGCCCCTTGTCGAATAATTTACGCCTTTTCAGTGTTGGGAAAACATCAAAAAATCAAATCTCACCAATGCCCAAGCTCACACTTGATTTTCGTAGACAGAAATCAACAAGTTGAAAACTGCGGTTAATTTTGCAAGCTGTGATATCGCAGCTTGGAATATCAAGCTAACAAAACTCACCAGCTATAATATCAACAAACTGTGGTGAGATTGAGTTTTTTTTTTTTTTTTTTTTTTGCTGCTCCTCTTTTTCCTGGCTTAGACCGTGTGACGGTCCATCTCGCCAATTAGGTAGTCTCTTTATTTGTTCGTATAGTTGTTGCTTTCCATGGTGGTGTTGTGTATGATGGTCCTTGATGTTCGGCTCTATACCGTTATTTTCGCCTCCTCGAGAAACTTTACTACTGATTTTAATTCCTTTTCGTCCCCCTCTTTAAGTATTTGTGTCAGCGGTTTTCTATCTTGCAGTAATTTGTAATTCGATCTTATCATGTCCCACTTGGTGCAGTGGAATAGTAGATGTTCAATATTTTCTTCTTCTTGACATATTTCACAGTTGCTATTTGCCTCCCAACCCCATTTATGTTTCCTGTCCTTCGTTAAGCAGTGATTTGATCTTATCCTGGTAAGCATTATTTTTTCTTTCGTGGTCAGTGCCATGTCCTTGAACCAAACCTTCGACCCTGGTACCTCTGCAAATTCGTAATGCTTTACTCCTTTTTCCTGGGACAATTTTTGATACTCTTCTATCCAGCTGTTCCATATATCCTCTTTTGCTACGTTGATGGTATCCTGTAGTGTTAGTTTTCCAAAGTTTGACTGCTCTCTCTTCGTAGTTTCAACCGCTATTTTATCCGCGACTTCGTTCCCTGACACGCCGACATGACTAGGAACCCATTGAATTCTATATTCCCACTTGTTATTACGTGCTTTGTGCAATAACTGGATAATTTCTAGAACGAAGTGGTTGTTTATTCCATTGTTCGTAGTTTTAAGTGTTGAACAAGAGCTTTTTGAGTCTGTGACAATTACGACCCATTGTAACTGTTCCTCTATTGCCATGTTTATCGCTTCTCGGATTGCCATCAGCTCTGCATTCATTATATTAGTTTTCGGATTGATCTTCTCTGCTATTCTATGTCCACTTACTAGGTCTACTGCTGCTATTGCTGTTCCGTTATGGTTTTTTGACGCATCCGTAAAAATTTTCCGAAACATACTGTATTTGTTATTCATCATTTCTGCAACTATTGCTCTCCATTGCTCCTGATTTAAGTTTTCCTTTTTCTCCTTATTGTTTGGTATACCGTCCTGTATCCATCCAGTTATTTCATCGCAGTTGTTTAACTCCTGAATGCAGTTTTCTGGTCTCTCAGTTAGTACATACATGATATCTATGTGTTTTTCTGCTAGCTCCGTCATATACGTGCCATTTGTGGACTCATTGTCAAGTGCTTTGTATATGAATTTTTTGTTTGGATTACTTCCGTGTTTGATTTTTATAGTTTCTTTCAAACTTAACCATTCTATTCTTTTATTCATCGACAATAACCCACTATCTGCTAGCATTACATTAATAGGTGTGCTTTTAAGGTATCTCATTGCAACTCGTATGTATGCGTTTTGGACCGTTTCTATTTTTTGTAGATTCGTTTTTGCAGCATTGCCGTATACGATTGCTCCATATTCTAACTTGGACCTAACAATAGCATTTCCTATTTTTAACACAGTTTCCGGATTAGCAGGGCTTTTTTTGTAGGAAATCATTTTCAGAAGGTTTAGGCTTTTCTTGGCTTTGGTTGTTACCTCTTCTATGTGCTTTTTGTGTATGAGGCCTTTATCTAGCGTATATCCTAAGTACTTATGGGTATTATTAACTTCGATCCTTTCTCCCTGCACCTTAATATTAAGCTTGTGATCTGGTATTTTGCTGTAGTTCACAACTGCACACTTAGCTGGATTCATTTTCAATTCCAATCCCTGAAGTCTCGTTCTGACTACCTCGATACATCGATTCGCTTTTTCTACTATTTCCTCGCTATCTCCTTCTATCATCAGCGCAAAGTCGTCTGCAAACTGCGTCAGGAACACTCCTTCTTCTATTTCTTCGTGAAGATCAATCGTGTATAGATTGAATAACACTGGTGATAAAGGGCAACCCTGGGCTAGTCCTCTGTTGACTGTTACTGTTACCTCTCGTTCTTGGGCTGTTATTTTCATTATTCTCTCGTTCAAATATTCATATATCCATCTTCTAATTTCCCACGGAATTTGCAATTTTTCCATTTTGTCCAGCAATATTTGACAGTTTACTGAATCAAACGCTTTGTCCACGTCCAGGAAGAATACTACGCAGTTTTTCTTCTGTGCTTTTAGTTCCTTGATGGAATTGACTATATAGTTTACGCTGCTTATTGCCGAATACCCCTTTCTGAATCCGAACGACAGTGGTGGTAGTAATTCCATCTCATCTGTATACTTCGCAAGTCGGTCTTTGACTACAGTGTTAATTGTTTTTAGAAACACGTTCATCAACGCAATTCCTCTCTTAGCCGTGATATCATTTGGGTCTCTATTGGGTTTTTGTATTAATACCATCTTGCTAATCCGCCATCGTTCAGGAATTTCGATTGCTAGCCATACTGCATTTAGT